ATAAACTCAGTATCGATGGAATGTATCTCAAAGTAATAAAAGCTATTTACGACAAACCAACAGCCAATATCATACTGAATGGGCAAAAACTGGAAACATTCCCTTTGAAATCCGGCACTAGACAAGGATGCCCTCTTTCACCACTCCTATTCAATACAGTACTGGAAGTTCTAGCCAGAGCAATCAGGCAAGAAAAAGAAATAAAGGGCATTCAAATAGGAAAGGTGGAAGCCAAATTGTCTCTATTTGCAGACGACATGATAGTATACCTAGAAGACCCCAATTGCCTCAGCCCAAAAACTCCTGAAACTGATAAGCAATTTCAGCAAAGTCTCAGGATACTAAATCAATGTGTATCCAAAAATCACAGACATTCCTCTACACCAATAACAGACTTAAAGAAAACCAAATCAAGAACGAACTGCCATTCACAATTGCTACAAATAGAATAAAATACCTTGGAATACAACTCACAAGGAACGTAAGGGACCTCTTCAAGGAGAACTACAAACCATTGCTCAACGAAATAAGAGAGGACACAAACAGATGGAGAAACATTCCATGTTCATGGTTAGGAAGAATTAATATCGTGAAAATGGCTATACTGCCCAAAGTAATTTACAGAATCAACGCTATCCCCATCAAGCTACTATTGACTTTCTTCACAGAACTGGAAAAAACCACCATGAACTTCATATGGAACCAAAAGAGAGCCCGCAGAGGCAAGTCAATTATAAGCAAAAAGAACAGAGCGGGGGGCATCACACTACTGGATTTCAAACTATACTACAAGTGTACAGTAATCAAAACAGCATGGTACTGGTACCAAAATAGAGATATAGACCAATGCAACAAAACAGAGGCATCGGAGGCAACACAACATATCTACAACCATACAATATTTGATAAACCTGACAAAAACAAGCAATGGGGAAAGGATTCCCTGTTTAATAAATGGTGTTGGGAAAACTGGCTAGCCATGTGCACAAAGCAGAAACTGGACCCCTTCCTGACACCTTACACTAAAATTAACTCCACATGGATTAAAGACTTAAACATAAGACCTAACACCATAAAAACCCTAAAAGAAAATCTAGGCAAAACCATCCAGGACATAGGAGTAGGCAAGGACTTCATGAACAAAACACCAAAAGCATTGGCAACAAAAGCCAAAATAGACAAATGGGACCTAATCAAACTCCACAGCTTCTGCACATCAAAAGAAACCATCACTAGAGTGAATCGGCAACCAACAGAATGGGAAAAAATTTTTGCAGTTTACCCATCTGACAAAGGGCTGATATCCAGAATTTACAAAGAACTCAAACAGATTTACAGGAAAAAAACAAACAAGCCCATTCAAAAATGGGCAAAGGATATGAACAGACAGTTTACAAAAGAAGACATATATGAGGCCAACAATCATATGAAAAAATGCTCATCGTCACTGATCATTAGAGAGATGCAAATCAAAACCACATTGAGATACCATCTCACGCCAGTTAGAATGGCAATCATTAAAAATCTGGAGGCAACAGATGCTGGAGAGGATGTGGAAAAAAGGAACACTTTTACACTGTTGGTGGGAGTGTAAATTAGTTCAACCATTGTGGAAGACAGTGTGGCGATTCCTCAAGGCCTTAAAAATTGAAATTCCATTTGACCCAGCAATCCCATTACTGGGTATATATCCAAAACACTATAAATCGTTCTACTATAAGGACACATGCACACGAATGTTCATTGCAGCACTGTTTACAATTGCAAAGACCTGGAACCAACCCAAATGCCCACTGATGATAGACTGGATTGGGAAAATGTGGCACATATACACCATGGAATATTATGCAGCAATCAGAAATTATGAGTTCGTGTCGTTTGTAGGGACATGGATGAATCTGGAGAACACCATTCTCAGCAAACTGACACAAGAACAGAAAATGAAATACCACATATTCTCACTCATAGGTGGGTGATGAAAAATGAGAACACATGGACACAGGGAGGGGAGTACTAAACACTGGGGTCTACTGGGGAGAGAAGGGGAGGGCCAGCGGGGGGCGAAGCTGCGGAGGGATAGCCTGGGGAGAAACGCCAAATGTGGGTGAAGGGGAGAAAGGAAGCAAAACACACTGCCATGTGTGTACCTATCCAACTGTCTTGCATGTTCTGCACATGTACCCCAAAACCTAAAATGCAATAAAAAAATTAAAAAAGAAAAAACATTGTTATGTGTGACTCTTGATAGGACACAATGAGTGAATAAGCATGAGTGATGGCCACTTTCCTGGCTGGCTCTAAGTAGCAGGGAAGATCTGATCAGCCGAAGCACTTTAGCAAATGGAACTTCTAATTTATCTGAGTATTTTTCTTTGACAAGGTAGGGCTGAGCTTGCCTACATTTGCTTTGGGTCTTTCTAGTAAAAGAAATATTCACAGAAATTGTATGTAGATACCCTTTGTTTTGAAAATCCTGCTCAGAATCATATAGTAATCTCTGGGACCCATGCCATGTTTATTTCACTTCCTTCTCCTATTTTCGTGTTTCTTTTGGTAAAATTATAATGGTATTCATTTTTTACTTAATATCACACTTAAACTATCCATCATTTGAGCTTTATTGTAGCTTATCAGTGATAAAAACAGTCAGTAACTGCCATTGTTTGTTTTCCTCGTAAGGCCTGAAAACAGCCATTCCTTGTTAAGAAAGTGTACAATATAACATATTTACTAGTGTTACATGGATTATTACATTGATTTTCTTAAAGGGAAAAATTTGAGAGTATCACAAACCACCAGCAGTTATTACAGTAGTTGCTCAGATTTTGTTCAGGAACCCCAATTAATTTATAGTGAAAGGATTATTATTATCTCTGCTAAGATTTAGATACTGCCTCAAAAATCTCAGCTCCAACAATTCCACACATCTAAAAACAAACGTTTGTACTCATCTAAGCATGAAATTATCCCAAGTAAGTGAGGATATTTTAGCAATGTGAAAGACACTTTCAGGGAAGGTGTTTGTTTTATACAAGTGGGTGGGGTGGTGGAATTGGGGGTATTTCTACAGTAATTCTTAGATGATTACTGAAATGCCCCATCTCATTTCTATCTAGGAAAGAAAAAATCAGTTTCATACTGTTGGCATCTATCAGAAATGTTCATTTTATTTTAAATGTTGCTTTAGAAGTTTAATCTTGAGTTTGTGGTGACCACATGTTTGTATCTGGAAAACCTGGGTAGAGTTATCATCTGTCCCATTCCCCCTGCTTTATTTGGTTGGAGTTACTGTTTAGATATGCAAAGACACATATTCTTGAATAATGATTTTACCATTTAGCAGAGAGTTTTTCTTAAGGATATATTTGAAGATTGGCTTTTCATATTATCTTTCATTCTTTGGCCTTGGCAAAGTGTACAATAGATTTTCATGATTATTGCATATTTTTTGTTATTAAAATTTTTTATGTTTTTAAAGGCATTCAATTTTACAGTTGTGACTTTATCACTGACTTTAATAGGTAGAATTTAAAAAATCAAAAATAAAGTTAAAAACACATGCAGAATGCCTAATGCCTACAAATCAATCAAGACAACCTCATTTAAAAATGGGGAAAAGATGTGAATAGGTACTTCACAAAAGACCTTGAAAAGGGCTGATAAAAATATTAAAACACTCTTAACCTCAGCATACTAACAATGCAGTGGCTTGAGAGGACATGGAGGAACTACAACTCTCATAAATTGCTGATAAGGATGTAAACTGGTTCAACACTTATGCAAAGCTGTTTAAATTTCATAACAGTTTCATTCAGAGAAGTCAAAAACTGCAAAAATTCCAAATGCCCATCAAAGGAAAACAGATCAACAAACTGTGTTATATTTATACAATGAATGCTACATAGCTTAAAAATGAACAGACTACCAATATACACACTATAATGAATCTCAGAAATTATGTTGAACAAAAGAAGCCAAATACATACAATGAAGTACATATTGCATGATTTAAGAAAAGACAAATTAATCTATAGTGACAGAATGAGAACAATGGTTATACCTCTGCTAGAGAAACTTAACAATTGACTGAGAAGGAGCCCAAGGGAATTTTCTGAAATTATGGAATCATATATTGATCTGGATGGTGGTTACATGGATACGTACATATGTAAAAATTCACCAAGCTATATACTTAGGATCTTAAAAGGTACATACCTTACTGTACAAAAGTTATTCCTCAGTAAAAAAACAAAAAAGATAGCCAAATTGTTCTACATAAAGATGCATCTTACAGATTTTTTTGTGAATCAAAGTGAAAGGCAAGGAATCTATTTTGTTCTGTATACTTAACACTTAATACAGTGCCAGGTACATGGCAGACAGTACATACGTTTTCTTCACTTTTGTTTTTTTGGCTAGAATAGTGTGTAGCTTTTAATTCTACTTTTTCCTATTTTAAACTGTAGTAAACTACACATAGCATAAAATTTACTCTCTTCACCATTGTTAAGTGTACAGTTCCGTAGCGTTAACTACATTCATATTGTTTTGCAACCTGTGCCACTATCCATCTCAATAACTCTTTTTGTCTTGTAAAACTGAAACTCTACACCCATTAATCAACAACTCCCCAATCCCAATCTTCCCCCAGTCCCTGGTAACCATCATTCACTTTTTCTGTCTCTATTATTTTGACTATTCTAAGTACTTCATATAAGTAGAACCATAACAGTATTTGTCCTGACTGGCTTATTTTATTTAGCTAATGTCCTGAAGATTCATCCATGTTGTAGCTTATGTTAAATTTCCTTTCAAGACTGAGTAATATTCAGTCCATAAGTATTTTTGATTGAATAAATTTACTATAACAATATTTTATCCAAATTCCAAAAGTCAGCCTCTTCCTTTCAAATATACCAAAGATTCCAAAAAGTAAATATCTAAGACAAAGGAAAACTGACAGGAGGAATGAAATAATTATATTCGAGAATATGGCTTACCTTCTTTGGGTCAAGATTCCCCAAAACTGAACTGGCCTGAGGACAAACTTCAGAAAGTGAGCAACCAATCTTCACGATATCCTCATTTCTACTGATACTCTAGAAATATCAGATATAGTATAAGACTCAGGAAAATATTATTTTATAGTGTTATACACTTTAAGGTTCTACTAAGCATGATAAACTTAAAAGATCTTAGGCCATCAGAAATTAAATCAAGTTCTTAGGTATTTTTCCATAATTTAAATGAGTTATTTATAAATAAGAAATGAGACTAGGTCATAGAAAAAGTTTACTTCCCAATGAGTTCAAATTAGGTGGAATTCAAACAATACCAAATATAATTAAATCATAAGAAAAGAATTCCTTAAAGATTGATTTAATTGCAGAGCTCAAACTGGGAAATAAAAGATGATCCTGGAACATTTGACGGTGCCAGAAAGTAAAGAAATGCCCCCCAAAAAAAAGAGCTAAGTGCGGTGGCTCACACCTGTAATCACAGCACTTCGGGCATACTGAGGTAGGAAGTTCACTTTTGAGCCCAGGAGTTTGAGATCAGCTTGGCAACATGGTAAAACCCTGACTTTACAAAAAATACAAACAGTTAGCCAAACATGGTGGTGTACGCCTATAGTCCCAACTACTTAGGAAGCTGAAGTGAGAGGATCACTTGAGCCCAGAAGTTTGAGGCTGCAATGAGCCATGATCGTCCCACTGCACTGCAGCCTTGGTGCCAGAGACCCTATCTCAGAAAAACAAAAAAAAAGAACTCAAAAAATAAGACATTTTAAGGACAAGTACTAATCTGTGTGCTCTTTGGTGAACTTTGTCCTACTGGCCAAGGATGAATAATTTAAACAACAAAATAAATCATGATAGCATAGAATTATAACCCATAGAATAGTCATGAGTCTATATTAATATAAATAATTGAATAAATGGCAGATAAGAGACATCTTTTGCTTACAGAAGAATTCCAATTAATAAATGTGGAAGGAATGAGGAGAACAGAAAATCATTATTTGGCAAGCACTAGAGAAATAGTAAAATTCATGGGTGAGAAGTTGAAAAGAAACTGGATTAGACAGCCTCAACATGTCTCCTAAAACATTCATTAATTATTAAAAAAAAAAAAATCAGTAACCTTACAGTGAAAAAACCTGCAATGTGCCACCTTATCCAAGTGAATCAAGGTTATCATCATCAGTAAGAAGGTATAGCACATCATGAAACCCCAATATGATGTACTGAGGGGACTACAGTATCACTTCTGTGGAACTCTTACTAATCTATTTATAAAAAATCATCAAACACACACAAATTGAAGGATACTCTACAAAATAACCAATATTCATCAAAATGTCAAAGTCTTGAAATACAAGGAAAAAATTAGAAACATACAGAGGTTAAAGAAAACCAAGGATCACAACTAAATACAATTAGGAATTCTGTATTGGATCCTGGAATACAAAAAGACCAAAAAAAGTGCTAAAATGTAAATAAGGACATTAGTTTAGTTAACAGCATTGTACTAACGTTAATTTCCTGCCTTCAATCATTCTACTGTGATTATATAACACATAAGCATTAAGGGAAGCTGGGTGAAGAGTATACAGAGCCACTCTGTACTAATTTGGCAACTTTACTGGAAGTCAAAGTTTCTTCAAAACAAATGTTAAATACATACATATGTTCTAACGAAATATACTAAAACATATTGAATAATGCTAGAAAGAACATGATTATCTGTGATGACTGAAAAGAACTCTGAAAGAGCAGTTCAAAGAATATCATGAATATCAATGTCTCTGCATAAAACAGGAACTGAATTTAAACTGACCCTGAGAAACATAAGAAGCAGCCTCTGTGAATAAACCCAGGGAATCAAAATATTCCACATATTTTCACTATACAGACTAAAACGAATAGAAGCTCTCCTGTTTGTTTGGTGCCATCTCAGCTCACTGCAATCTCAATCTCCTGGGCCCAAACAATCCTCCCACCTCAGCCTCCCTCAGCCTCCCACATAGCTGGGACAAGCAGGCAGCACCACACCGTGTGTGTGTGTGTGTGTGTGTGTGTGTGTGTGTGTGTGTCTCGACAAGACCTCACTATGTTGCCAAGACTAGTCTCAAACTCCTGGGCTCAGGTGCTCTTCTCACACTGGCCTCCCAGTGTTAGGATTAGGATTATAGGCATGAGCCACCATGCCTGACCACAACAAGCTGGTTCTCAAATACTTTGGATTCCTTCACCTGCCACTCATCCAATCTGAAATGTCTGCTTTTAAGTGGTTTTTAAGGCAGAAACCCACAGGACAGAAAAACAGTGAAAATATGTGAGTAGATTTTCTTCCTAACCTGCCTTTGCATATTTCCAAATCTCTACTTACTCTTCTCCATGCCTACATCCCATCTTAATCCCAACCAAATTTGCCAATTTGCTTTTTTTTTTTTTTTTTGAGACAGAGTTTCGCTCTTGTTACACAGGCTGGAGTGCAATGGCGCAATCTCGGCTCACCACAACCTCTGCCTCCTGGATTCAAGCAGTTCTCCTGACTCAGCCTCCCGAGTAGCTGGGACTACAGGCGCACACCACCATGCCCAGCCAATTTTTTGCATTTTTAGTAGTGACGGGGTTTCACCATGTTGACCAGGATGGTCTCAATCTCTTGACCTTGGGATCCACCCACCTTGGCCTCCCAAAGTGCTGGGATTATAGGCTTGAGTCACCGCACCTGGCCGCCAATTTGCTTCTTGAAATAACCACTACATTCACTTATATACCATTAGTAGTGTTGATGTTTAATCTTTTCATATGCATGCTTCCTATTTTAAATGTTTTTATACAAGAGTCTCAACCTCATGGTTTAACTCAGAGGTTGGCAAATTACAGCCACCTGTTTTAGTAAATAAAGTTTACTGCATCACAGCTGCAAACATTCATTCACATTTTCTCCATGGCTGCTTTGCACTACGTTGGCAGAGTTGAATAGCTACAAAAGAAACTGGCCTAAAAATGGTAAAATACTCATCATCTGATCCTTTACAGAAAAAAAATCTTCTGAATCTTGAATTTGTCCAAATTCAAACAACATCTTCACAACTAAATTGAACTGAAATCAAAGTCTAGAGCTGCACTACTGAATACAACAGCCAATACCCATTTGAAATGCGGCTAATCGGAGGAGACATGCTATAAGACACACACTAGATTTCAAAGAGAATATTAAAAAGGAAATACAAACTACCCTGTTCACACTTTGATGCTAATTATATTTTGAAACAATATTCTGGAGGATACACTGAGTTAAAATGTATTTATTAAAATATCACCTATTTTTAGTTTCTTCAATGTGGCTGCTGAAAATGTTTTAATATTACTTATGTGGCTCATATATTTCTACTAGATGTCACTGGTACAGAAAATCTTTTTACACTAATAAATGATGTTTCTATATAAGCTTAAATATAATTTATCATCTAACCAGGGACACTGTTTAGAGTGACGCAGCTGTCATTAACACAGACAATGGGCATGGAACCAGAATGTGTGAGCAACTTTCAGAAAATGTGCATAAGTGGCCGTGCATGGTGGCTCACGCCTGTAGTCCCAGCACTTTGGGAGGCCGAGGCAGGCAGATCACGAGGTCAGGAGTTCAAGACAGCATGGCCAACATGGTGAAACCCTGTCTCTACTTAAGATTTAAAAACATAAATAAATCAGCCGGGCACAGTTGGGACGTGCCTGTAATCCCCGCTACTCCAGAGACTGAGGCAGGAGAATGGCTTGAACCCGGAAGGCAGAGGTTGCAGTGAGCAGAGATCGTGCCATTGCACTCCACCATGGGTGACAAGACTCCATCTCAAAAAAAGAAAAAAGAAATTCGCATAAGCAGAAACAAATTTGCCAAATATGTATGTGTAAGCAGACACACAAATTTGCCCCAAGTTTTCTATAATATCACCCTTCTACAATTTTTTTTCATATTTAGTCATGCCCCACGTAGTGACATTCTGGTCAAAAATAAAGCACATATACTACAGTTGTCCCATAAGGTTATAATAAAGCTAAGGTCGGGCATGGTGGCTCACACCTGTAATCCAGCACTTTGGGAGGCCAAGGTAATTGGATCACAAAGTCAGGAGTTCAAGACCAGCCTGGCCAACATGGGGAAACCCCCATCTCTACTAAAGATATAAAAAATTAGCCAGTTGTGGTGGTCTGCGCCTGTAATCCCTGCCACTTGGAAGGCTGGGGCAGGAGAATCACTTGAACCCTGGAGGTAGATGGTACAGTAAGCCAAGATTGCGCCATTGCACTCCAGCCTGGGAGACAGACAGAGACTCCATCTCAAAAAAAAAAAAAAAATTATAATGAAAACTGAAAAATTCCTATTGCCTAGTGTCCTAGCCATCGTAACATCATAGAACAATGCATTACTCACATATTTGTGGTGATGTTGGTACAAACCTACTGTGCCCCAGTCTTACAAAAGCACAGCACACAATTATGTACAGTACATAATACCTGGTAATGAACATAAACAACTATGTCACTGGTGTGTGTATGTACATATATTTTTTAGTGTACTCCTTATTTTAAAAAGTTAATTGTTTAACAGCCTCAGGTCCTTCTGAAGGTATTTCAAGAGGGCATTGTTATCACAGAAGATAACAGCTCCATGCACATTATTGACCCTGAAGACCTTCTAGTGGGACAAGATGTGGAGGTGAAAGACAGTGATATTGATGATCTTGTCTCATCTTTTACCAAAAAGTTTTTAAAGTTAAAAAAAACTTTAAAAATGTTAAAAAGAGAAAAAAGCTTTAGAATAAGGATATAAAGAAAACATTTTTTCACAGCTGTACAATGTTTGTTTTAAGCTGTATTACAAATGAGTCATTTATTAAAAGTTACAATAAGTTAATTTATTGAAGAAAAATTTTTAAAGTGTAGCCTAAGTGTACAGTATTTATAAAGTATATAGTATTGTACACTAATGTCAGGCCTTCACACTCCTCACAGTCAATGACTCACCCTAAGCAATTTCCAATCCTGCAATCTCCATTCACCCTAAGTGCTCTATGCAGGCGTACCATTTTTTAATCTTTTATAATACTTTAATGTACCTTTTTTATGTTTAGAAAAAAAAGATATGCCATTGTGTTTCAACTGTCAGCAGCATTCAGTACAGTAACATGGGGTACAGGTACAGCACATGGCCTAGGTATGCAGTAGGCTATATCATCTAGGTTTCTCTAAGTACATTCCATGACGTTCACACGACGACAAAGTCGCCTAATGATGCCTTTCTCAGTATGTCTCCCAGTCATTAAGTGATGTATGATTTAAGAACTGTGGGTTAATCATATTCTTCTAGAACTTTCTTCTCATATATTCTATTTCCCACATTACAAGTTCACCTCATCCCCCATCAAAAGGAGTTCCCATGCTGTAGGGAATATAGAGAAATGTAAGTTATTTCCCTCCCACATCATTTATAGTTTACAAAAGCAAAAATTAGCAGGTCATTGTGTGCATTAGAGGAATTTACTTTCTTAAATGGTGGAACACAGCCCTTTAGCACTTGGTCTGTATTTAAAACTGAGTAACCTTACCTGACTGGCAGCCTTCCAATAGAAAATCAGAAACATTTCATTCATGCTCCCAATTTTATGAGAAAAATACCATATCTCAAATTTAAGCTATTAGAAAAAATAACAGAGATTTTTAAAACTTATCCTTCTTCAAGAAACAATCTTATAAAAGACCCCTAGATGGGGCTATAACTTCACAAATACAACAGGCTCCCAGATCCCAGCAATTTATGCAGCCTAGAATTGAATGGAATTCTGAAATCACAATCTTGCCAATTTTCTTTTGTTTAACTTGGTGTATTATGCACGTAATACTCACTAGTCACATAAAGTCACAGCCATCAAGCTCTGTCTTCTAATAATGCCTGGTGATAAATAATTCCATAAAAATTATGCACTGAGAATGATAAATGTATTTATTCCTGGGTTTTTTGGTGTTTGTTTTTTTTTTTTTTTTCCCTAAGGCAGAGTCTTGCTCTGTCATCCAGGCTGGAGTGCAGCGGCACGATCCTGGCTCACTGCAACCTTTGCCTCCTGGGTTCAAGCGATTCTTCGGTCTCAGCCTGGGGAGTAGCTGGGACTACAGGCTCGCCATTCTGCCGTCACACCTGTAATCCCACCACCATGCCGGGCTAATTTTTGTTTTTAGTAGAGACCAGGTTTCCCATATTGGCCAGGCTGGTCTCGAACTCCTGATTTCGTGATCTGCCAGCCTCGGCCTCCCAAACTGCTGGAATAACAGGCATAAGCCACCATGCCCAGCTGAAAATGATAAATATATTTATACCTGGGTTTTATTTTTGTTTTTGCTGGGGAAGAATTGGGTTAGGGGTGATGAAGGGGATATCAACCAGTTTGCTATTTACCTGGGCCCAAAATGTTACTGCATCTTCTATGTGACTTCCAACCACATCTTCCACTAAAACCAAATCACAGTACAAAGGAAATTAGAAATTAATCAGTACCATCTAGCTCTTACACCACAAAAAAATTGTTAGTATCAGTACCTTTATCGTAACGTGTATCTTCATCCATTTGGACAACTCCTGAAAAACTAGAACAATTCAATAACTTGAATTAGATTATAATATTCCATTCATTAATAATGAAGACTAACCTACATAGTGTTCAGTTCTTACAAATATGTTTTATCCTAAATGCAGCTATCAAAATTCAAACTCTATATTAAAAATAAACTCAATATTTCCTTCAGTAAATAATTTGAGTATTTTGTAGTATATGCAATTTTATCACATATAATCTCTATCCTTAACATTATCTTTAGCCTAACTTTTACAAACTCACACTGAACAATTCATACACATTCTGATCACTTACATAAATCAATACTCTGAAACAATGTACATATTCCTTTTTAAAAAATATCCTCCCAAAAAAAGGACTTCCACAACGTAAAGAGAAACATTACAAGTAATAGAACAAAAGCTTTAAACTGGCAGTCTATTTTATTTAAAAGTCATCGTGGTTACTTCTTTTGAAGATACTGTGGGATTAAAGACTTCAAAATACATAGAATTTTGCCTATTACTTCAAAAATAATGTTTATTACATACTTTACCAAATGCAAAAATATTCCAAAATAAATGTCTGCTACTACATAATTTTATCTGTAATATACTAGAATATTGCACTTTCCATTCACAAGCATTGAAAGAAAATAAAAATACAGATTCTCTCCCCGCCAACAGAGGAAGTCTTGCTCTATCGCCCAGGCTGGAGAGCAGTGGAGCAATCTCAGCTCACTGCACCCTCCACCTCCCGGGTTCAAACAATTCTCCTGCCTAAGCCTCCCAAGTACCTGAGATTACAGGCACACGCCCAACTAATTTTTGTATTTTCAGTAGAGACAGGGTTTCACCATGTTGGCCAGGCAGCTCTCTAACTCCTGACCTTATAATCCGCCCACCACAGTATCCCAAAGTGTTGGGATTATAGGCGTGAACCACAGCAATTTTTTAAGAGCTTTAAAAATTGTCTAAACACAACTATACCAAAGTTTCAAATGCTCCCTCATTATGAAAAGGAAAACATTAACCCCTCACCACAGAAATATTAAAAAGTTTTTAAATGAATTGCTTTTGTTACAACTTTTTTAAATTTTTCGTAAGTGGCGTGAAAATGTCTCCAAAACAAGGGTTCTTAACTAACGGTCAAAAAGCAGTTTTTAAATTCAACTGAGTGAAAAGCTGTGAAAACTTTTAGGGAGACTATTTCTACGGAAGACATTAAGGCTTAAATTCAACAAAGGTGAAAATTACTTTGGAAATCTCTCCACATACTCCAAGAAGCTACTAACTCTAGAATAGTTTTTAAATCTTACTTTAAAACGATTTCCCCTGATAATTATGAAGGAACTGATGCTTCATAATTTGAAGCATCACTTCAAATATGAACCCACTTCCTGCAAACAGAGATCACCGAACGTAGGTCCAAATCTCTACTTCGAGATGAAAATTTGGAAGAAATGGGTACACGTAGCTCCCTGACACTTGTTTTATAAGGGATTTTTAAACTTAAATGGCACAGAATTTTCGAGAAGTGATAGAGAATGCAGGCTGCGTGACCTCGTCTTCATGGAGATTATTCAGGCCTGAGGTCTTTTCAGGCCGGTTTCGCCTGCCTGCACACGCATTTCAGAAACTGGGGCGTCTGGCACCCTTCGCGGTGGCCGGCGGCTCGACGGCGGCAGAAAACCCTGAAATGGGTCTAGTCCCATGAATGGAGACCTAAAACACAAGTCGCGACGAAAATACAGTCCTTGAAGTGGCCACCACTGCACCTACCACAAAAACTACTACTGACCTCACACTTCCCGTTGCAGAAGCTCTAGAAAAGTGACCCTGGCCCCACATCCTGGGCTCTCGGCCCTCCGCTCGCTATCGCGCCTCGCCCTCCGCCCGCCGTAGCACACGTCCAGCAGCTTACCGGGCGTGCTTCTGCCGCTCGGGCCCCACACTGCGCCTGCGTGCACCGCGCTGCGCCATCATCCGGGGTTGGCGGGAGTCACGTGGCAGCCAAGGCCTCCAGCCTGGAAAGAAGCGTTGCGGGAGGGGCCTGGCACTGAGGCTGCGCCCTGGTGATTTACAGGGTGGGGTGGGGTCCATCACCAGTTCCTTTCACAAGTCTTCGAGCCGTTGTGGTGACGTAGGATTTCGTGACCTTTCCTAACCCCTTCACGTGGATTTAAATTTTAGAAACGCCCAAATTAGAAGAACTCTAACATTCTATTTACACGATGGAAAAGAGAAAATAACTGGTAACTGAAATGTGTTTTTCAGATTAGTAACTTTACAAGCGTTGGTCAACCCATCCTTAGATCCCACAGCTCCCTCTAGCATAACAACTTTTTTCACGGAAAAAAATTTGCTGTCTGCTTCTTTTCAGATATTAGATTTTGTTGCAAACCCTAACACAACAATTGAAAATTATCTCCAATTAACGTTTAATAGCTTGATTGAAGGGTAGAGTACAACAAACTGCAGATATCAATAATACATAATTTGTTAAGGATGAACATATGTATATACTGTTGAAATCACTCCGCAATTAAGATAAACTTTTCCATCACCTCAAAGTTTCCTCATGCCCGATTATAATACCTGACTCCTCCCAGTTCCCGTTCTGCTTTCGGTCACCATATATTAGTTGGCGTTTTCTAGAGTTTGACATTAATAGAATCATACAATATGAACATTTAATCTGACTTATTTCCAATAGCACAATTATTTTGATTGATAATTTTGTCCTATGAGTATCATGAATTTGTTGGGTTGTATTGCTGTTACTATTCCATTGCATGAATATAACACAATTTGTTTATCTACCTTTTAATAGATATTTGGACTGCTTCCAGTTTTTGTTTCAGACGAAGTTGCTATTGTGAGCAAGCCTTTGTATGGACATATATGTTCATATCTCTTGGGTTAGTACCAAGGAGTGGAACGGCTAAGACGTAGAATTATGTGTGCTTAAAAAACTGCTGCACAGTTTTATGTAGTTGTACTATTTTATATTCCCACCAGTGGGGTTTCAGAGTTCTAACTGCTCTGTATCCTCACCATCATTTGATATGGTCTGTGTTTTTAAGTTTAAACATTTTGTATAATGGTATCTCCTTGTAATTAATTTGCATTTCTTTCTCTACTGACTAAAAATGTTGGGAAACTTTTCCTGTGTTTATTTTCCATCCATATCTTCCTAAATGAGGTGTTCGTTCAAACTTTTTCTAACTGAATTTTTTTAATATTGAATTTTTGACAGTTCTTTATATACTATGAATACAACTCCATCAGGTTTGAAAATACTTTCTCCCAGTCTACAGCTGTCTTTTTGTCTTCTAAAAAAGGTATTCGAAAGAATGAAAGTTCTTAATTTCAATAAAGTCTAATTTATCTGTTTTGTCTTATGAGTCATGCTTTTGTGTTGTATATAAGAAATCTCTGATTAGCCTGGTTCACAAAGATTTTCTTGTATATTTTCTTCTAGAAATTTTAGATATTCAAGCTTTACATTTTAATACATAATCCTTTTTGAGTTGATTTTTATAACATGTGAAACATTAAGCAAATTTATTTTATTGCATATGGATATCTAATTTTTCCAGCATCATTTCTTGAAAACACTGTCATTTGTCTATTGAATTGTCTTTGTACCATTGTCAGAGATCAACCATACATGTGCAAGTCTATTTCTGGATTCTCTGTCCTGTTACACTGATCCACTTGCTTTCTTTAGACTAATATAATCCCACACTGTCTTAATTACTATAGTTTTATAGTAACTCTTGAAGACAGATACTGTAAGCCTTCCAATATTGTTGTTTCTCAAAGTTGTTTTATGTTTGTAGTTTCATGATCTCATAGAACCAATTTGTCAGTATCTATACACAGACACACACAAACACACACTCACACACACACAGCCTGCTGTGATTTTGATTGGGATTACATTGAATGTATACACCAATTTGAGGAGAATGGACATCTTAGCTATATTGAGTCTTCTGATCCATGAATGCAGTATATTTAGATCTTATTTTATTTATCTGAGCAATGTGTTGTGCTTTTCATTACAAAAGTTTTATCTTTTGTCTGATTTATCCCTAAGAATTTCATTTTTCATGCTATTATAAATTGTATTGTTTTCTTAATTTCAACTTGTTTTGTTGCTAGTACATAGAAATGTACCTTTATTGTATATTATTTCTGTGATAGTTTGGTTGTTTTTTTGGGCGTGTGTGTGTGTGTGTGTGTTGTGTGTGTAAGACAGGGTCTCCCTCTGTCACCCAGGTGAGAGAGCAGTGGTACCATCGCAGGTCATTGCAGCCTTGAGCTCCTGTGCTTAAGCAGTCCTCCTGCCTCAGTCTCCTAAAGTGCTGGTATTAGGCACTGCACCTAGCCTATTTCTAGTGATAGTTTTTAAAATAAATTTAACAGAATTATCTACATAGATGATCATGTCTTGTGCAAATAAAGGCTGATTTACTTTCTGCTTTCTAATCTGGAAGTCTTTTATTTATTTTTATCTTGCCTTGTTGCAGTAGCTAGATCCTCCAGTATAATGCTGAAAATAAGTGCTGAGAGCAGACACCCTTGCCGTGTTCCTGTTCTTAAGAGGAAAGCATTTTCCTTTTACCATTAAGAATGTTTGCTGTGGGTTTATAGTAGATACCCTTTAGTAGATTAAGGATGCTACTTTCTTACTGAAAATTTTTATCATGAATGTGTGTTGAATTTTATCAAATACTTCTTTTCATATCTATTGAGATAATCATGTGGTTTATTAATACGATGAATTACATCGAATAATTTTCAAATGTAATACCGACCTTGCTTTTCTGGGATAAAATTAACTTGGTCATGATGTATTATCCTTTTTATATATTCTCATATTAGGTTTGCTAAAATTGTTAAGAATTTTTGCATCTATGTTCAAGAGGGATATTGGTCTGAAATTTTCTTTTCTTGTAATGTCTTTGTCTTGTTTTGATGTCAGAGTGATGCTGGTCATATAGAATAAGTTGTAAAGAATTCTCAACTTCAGTTTCTGGAAGAGTCTTATAGAATTGATGTTCTTTGTTCCCTTAAGGCTTGGTAAAACTCACAGTGCAGCCATCTAGCCATCTAGGCATAATTTCCTCTAGTACACATTCTAGCCATCCAGAATTTTCTTTGTGGTAAAGTTTTTAACTACAAATTCAAGTTCTTGATAGATATAGGGCTAATTGTGTTATCCATTTATTATTTAATGAGCTTGATAGTTATGTCTATATTGTAAACATTTTAACTCTATATTTTCCTGGTGCCTTAGCGTTCCCACAAATAGGCTATAAATACCCTGCCCAAGTGACCAGGTGTACCAGGGTGACAGAATAGCATACTGGTGATTAAAAAGGAATTCTTCTTGCTCTTAATTTATAAATGATAACCTGCTAACCTATGGTTATCACTGGATTATACCTCTTTGGGAAAACCCAAAGGCAGTTAGTCCACCAGAGGGCCCTCTTATTCAAACACCAGAGCAACAGCACGTACCAGAACAAGGTTTAAAACTTTAAATTATATTATCAAATTTATCTATCTCAATTATGTATATTTAGGGAGAGTAGAAATAAAGTGGGACCAGACCCATTTTACCTTCTGTGAGATGAACTTTAGCCAGTACTCCATTTGTCACTGAGCTTCCCTGTTCTAACCAGTGAAACACAATGGTCTTTTGGGTCTTCTGGGATCCATGTCAGCTCAGGCACTGTATCCAATTGTCCTTGGTTGAAAAAAATCTTACTATTCCTTTTTTATCCATTGTACACTTACCCTGGTAAATGATGGTACATGACTTCCCCTTTGAGAAGGGATTAGGAGATGTTTACCAAATATATTTGATGATCCTTCCTCAAGGGATCTGGGCCTTCCCTTCCATTATGAGCTTTAGGTCTGGAAACTGGATGGGGAACTACGGTTTTTCATTACAAAGATTAATGTCAGCCTTCTCCTTGCCAGTTCTCAATTTTCTTTTCTGAGGGGTGAGAGGAGTCAGTTATACAAGTCAAATAACATCCTAATCAGGTGTCCTTCTATCTTACCCCTTGGAACATCATGAACTTTACCTTGTTCACAGATTCGTGCCTAGGTACCCATTAAGTTAATTATGTCCATTGGGCCTCTGACAGTTAAGTTCCACAACTTGGCCTTCAAAATTTCGGCATCCCATCCTGTATCTACATTGATACCCCAGAGCCCAGTGTCATGACAACATCTTCCATCATCAATTCTAGTCTGTAGAGGTCAATCAACCATTACTAGGCTTTTTAAAGTTTCCAGTATACTCTTCACCATTACTTTTCTTTTCATTGTTTGAGATAGGATCTTACTTTGTCACCCAGGCTAGTGTATTGGCATGATCAAGGCTCACTGCAGCCTCGACCTCCTGGCTCAAGCAGTCCTCCCACCTGAGCCTCCCAAAGCGCTGGGATTACAGCTGTGATCCCCTGCACTTGAGTACTATTATACTTTTTTTGCCTTAGTTATGAATATCATCTGGGCCTTCCCAGGGAAATGTCAGGTGGTAGCTTCTCCAGTTTCAAACAACAAATATATCCCTAAGCTTTCTGACCCCTTCCTCAGTACTGTCAGATAACTGCAGGCATGCTTATCATATCTTCTATATGCCATCTTTGCATTGTGTTAGGAGCAACTCCAGAGATTCTTGACAGGGAATTAAACCATGCATCATGAGTGGGTGCTCTGATGTCACTCTCTCCTCTCAAGCCTTATATTCCATCCCCACCACACCCCTTGATTCAACATCCTCAAGATCTACTCTCAGACATATTCCCTGGGTTCCTTCCAATACATTTCAACCAGAATCTGCAGTTGAGTCAGAGTAAAACCTATCCTCCTAGAGGAAGGACTACACTCTCCAAGTTAGAGTTTGCTGAGACCTGATCCTAGTTATTACTTTGGAGTCAGTGAGAGGTAGCAAGAGTGAGTCTTGAGGACAAGTGTTACCTTGTGATGCAACTGCCTCAGATAAAGCCTTTAGAGAACCTCAAAGCAAAGGGCAGGATATATACGCCTCTAGAAAATTGGAGGACACAATTTGTGCCAGCTCAGAGTTGAAGGATCCTGAGGGTTCGAGATTCTCAGGTACCAACACAAATGTCCCAATACTATGATTTAGGGTTCCATTCTTTTTGTGTCAGCATGCTGACTTTGCTGGGGACTGTGCATTCAGCCTCCTTTGCAGCCTTGCCACCTTTACTGTTAGATTTGAGCTGGATTGCAGCAGTCTGGCCTGTATCTGAAGATGAGTTTCACAGTATTCCTTGAGTTAAATGGCTGTCATGAGCCTGTGTCATTTTCTTTTTCAAAGCTCCTAAAGCATTTCAAAGTAGCAAGTGAATACTTTATAATTTCCACTAGTCCTATTTCACTGTAATGGCACAGCTACTGCATAATCTAGCACTTCACCTCCCACCTGCACTTCATCCAAATCCACTGCAATAACTGATCCATTCACAAGATACTATTTTGAGTGTTTGCTTTCAAAAGCCATTCCTGGTACCAACCATCTTAGCATGAGTTTATCCCTTGCCCAAAAGCAAAGCCTAAGACAAATGTTCTTATACCAGTGAGTGTTATTATACAAGCAATTTATTTGGGAAGTGATCTGAGGGAACCAGAGGGAGGAGCAGAGGAGTGGAAAAGGAAAAAAGAGAAAGCTAACATAGGAATATATTATTATTGAGTTGGCCGCTGCTACGGGTGACTGGCCATCAAATGGCTTCCAGTATCAGAAACCTCCTGGAAAGTGTTCACAGTAGTAATGCAGTAAGACATAAATGGGCCAAGATGATTTGCAGTGGCACACAAGATGTGTCCAGTGCAGTTACAGACAATGGGTAGTTGACAATACAACTTAAAAATCAGTAGATATCTTTGACTTGAGACAGATGATTGAAAAAAAAGAATCTTATATCTTAAAGGAATGGATAAGCTAAGTGTACTATGGCATATTAACATAATGGAACTCTGAACACGCACTAAAAATTGTGGGGTAAATGTAAATTTATTAATTTAAGATACGCTATACTGAGTGAAAAAAAGTTGTGAAATTCAGAGAGCAATTCCATTTGCATTAAAAAAGAAAAAGCAGGGCATTTCTCATTTTTGTAAGGTTTAAGGTTTTAAAACAGACACAATCCAGTATTTATGAGACTATAATATGGCATAGCATTTCTGGAAGGCAATAAAAAAATACAAATTAAAATTAGTAAATATAAATATTTAAAATGAAAATTCTCTGTAAATGTGATATTTAAAAAATAAAATCTGATTTTAAAAAAAGAAAAAAGAATCAGTAATATCACGAAAAAATGGCAGTATGATTTTAAGATACTTTTTTATTTAAAAATATTACAAACTTTGAAAAATAAAAAAATTAACGATTTTAGCTATTTTATTCTTTGTTTTGTTTTTAACTTACTATTTTGTATGACAAACATGGCTCTTATGTATTTGTTCAGAACCCTTGATAATATCTTTAATTTTTTAAATAGCCTGAAACAGTTAAATTATTATGTGCTAAAAATATTTGCTGTACTCTCAGGTAGACCCATATAAAATAATCTCATTTGTTAGGAGAGAGAAAATGTATACACATAGTAACAAATCATGAGTTTTGACAGAAGTAATAGGCATTTTTAGTTATTTAGATAAATTAAGGAGACACTACAAAAGACATTTATACAGGAAAAAAGTAAATAATTTGAGGAAAAATAAACTGTATTACTACATTTATATAAACATGAAAAAGATAAACTTGGACGATGGTTTGAATTTCTCCAACAGTCTTCATGAAGGTTTTGTAGCTGATGGCAATGGAGCTTTTCCTTTCTGCTTAGCAGCCTTTTCCATTTTTATCTGTAAATTGAACATATTTATTGATATAATAACTTCTAAACCATTCTAAAGAAAAAAAAACTTGCATAAAATTCATTCAGATTCATGTCACAGCCATTCCACACAGTTATTAAACTGCTAAATACTAAAGCCAAAATCTTTTAAAGGGACATGATTACACATTCTTAAATGGTTTGATTTTAATTTTACAGAAGCATTTTAATAAAAGTAACATGAATATTGCTTTAGAGAAAAAAATTAATTTCAACTGTCACTAAAATTAAAAGTACTGGCTGGACGCAGTGGCTCACGCCTATAATCCCAGCACCTTGGGAGGCCATGATGGGCAGATCACGAGGTCAAGAGAGCGAGACCAGCCTGGCAAACATGGTGAAACCCCATCTCTACTAAAAATACAAAAATTAGCTGAGCGTGGTGGCACATGCCTGCAGTCCCAGCTACTCGGGAGGCTGAGACAGGAGAATTGCTTGATCCCAGGAGGCAGAAGTTGCAGTGAGCCAAGATCGTGCCACTGCACTCCAGCCTGGCAAGAGAGCAAGACTCCATCTCAAAAAAAAAAAAAAAAAATTAATTAAAAGTGCTTAAAATGCCTAAGCTTACATCCAGCCTATGCACATTCCCTACAGAGTTACAGAATGCACCTAATCCAGCTGGATTATCTCTGGAACGTGGACTGCCTTAAGGATAGTTTCCTGTAATTCTGATTTCTATATTCCTGGTTACCTTCCTGAAGATCTTGTCCTCTTCTATTATTGTTAAAGCAAAAAAGCAGCACACATACCCTAAGCAGTGGCCTTGTAACTTTTTAGACATAAAGAGATTTTCCATGGGATTAAAGACCCCAGAGAACACAAAGCCCACCTGCCTCTTACTCACCACCACTCATATTCACACACACCAACTTCCAGAGGCAACCTCACTGCCTTACCCCTGCAAGAGAAGGGGAGAGGAAGTCAAGGGCCATGGTAGAAGAAGGCAGGGCCTCTGAACTTCTGAAGTGATAGGAATAATATCAAGAAACCAGGAGAGGCCGGGCATGGTGGCTCATGCCTGTAATCCCAGCACTTTGGGAAGCTGAGGTGGGCAGATCACAAGGTCAGGAGATCGAGACCATCCTGGCTAACACGGTGAAACCCCATCACTACTAAAAATATAAAAAAGTAGCCAGGCATGGTGGCACTTGCCTTTAGTCTCAGCTACTGAGGAGGCTCAGGCAGGAGAATCCCTCGCACCAGGAGGCGGAGGATGCAGTGAGCCAAGTTGGTGCCATTGCACGCCGCCCTGGACGACAGAGTGAGACTCCATATCAAAAAAGAAAACAAAAAAGAAACCAGGCAAAACCAGTCTATCCAATCCCATCAAACTGCAAGTAAAAAAACTTCCCAACCATAAAACCAGATTAATGTAACCTCTGTCTCCTCCGCATTTACTCCCTCTCTCTCCTCTTTGAGTTGGGTGGGGAACCTCAGACACCATACACTCATACCATTCTTGCAAACTGTCAAACAACAGGTCATCTGAAGGAGCCCCCAAAATACCCTATTCTAGGGCAAAAGTTACAGGTTTTGATGTCAAATAGAAAAGAATTTGAATCCTACTTCTACCATTTATTAAGCATTTGGGGCAAGTTATTTATCAGTTTTACATCTGTAAAAAATGTCATAGTAATAGCTACTCCTCAGGGTTGTTCTAAAGCTGTAAATAATATATATATAAATCTAGGCACTTAAGCGCTCAATAAATGTGAGACCCTTTTCCTCACTCATTTAAAGTCAAGTGTTGGATTTGTAGAAACATAAGTTTTTAAGAAACAAAGATGCTAAAATACAAACAAAAGCCAAAGTAGTGTTTTGACATTTGAAATAATACTTAGCAAATTTTGAAATAATACTTAGCAAATACATCCATCTACCAATCTATCATCTAGAGTCTTTTTTTTTCTTTTTGAGAAAGAGTCTCTCTCTGTCACCCAAGCTGGAATGCAGTGGCCCAATCTCAGCTCACTGCAACTTCCACCTCCCGGGTTCAAGTGATTATGCTGCCTGAGTCTCCCAGTAGCTGGGATTACAGGCGTGCACCACCATACCCAACTAATTTTTTGTATTTTTAGTAGAGACAAGTTTTCACCATGTTGGCCAGGCTGTTCTCGAACTCCTGCCTTCAAGTGATCTGCCCACCTCGATCTCCCGAAGTGCTGGGATTAGAGGCATGAGCAACCGCACCCGGAAAACCATCTAGAGTCTTAAGAAAAAAGATACATCCTCCTCTTCTTTTTTGTTTGTTTGTTTTTTAAATTTTCTGACAGGAATACAGTGCCTTGCACCTAGTAGACCTTTGATAATTGATTCCTTAATAAAATTCTCCTTTCTTGGGGAAAAGAGATCAAGAGTCATCCACAGCAGAAGAAAATAACTTAAACTGATAATATAAAAGCAACTTTTCAATAGTATCTAAAAGCAGCTGGTAAAATATGTGACCACAAAGACCTCACTTATCAAAGCTGACTTACACTAATCATAGATTCTTCCCCGCCAGATGTTACCAGTGATTCACAAAGAAGACAAACAAAAACCAGATATATATGGCATTGCTCTTGCAAGAGGCTCTGAACTATCAGACACACAGCTTCCTAATCATCCAAATGGTTTTGGAGTAAAAGACAAGTACTGATAGCACGTATGGTACATGTCACCTCAGAGGAAGTTATTTAGGTTTAGGCTTCTTATTGTTTATATTCCATTAATCACACAGGGTGGAGAGTTTATAACCTATATCTCATAAATCTATAAATCACAGAGGCTACAAAGTTATAAACTACAGCTCATAAATCCATAAAATCTAGGTTTGTTCATATTAAGCAATCTCACCCTTGCCCCCCAAGACGAAACGTTGCTCTGTCACCCAGACTGGAGTGCAGTGGTATGATCTCGGCTCACTGCAACCTCACCTCCTGGGTTCAAGCAATTCTTCTGCCTCAGCCTTCCAAGTAGCTGGGATTACAGGTGCATGCCACCACTCCCAGCTAAATGTTTCTTTCTTTTCTTTTTTTTTTTTTTTTTTTTTTGTATTTTTAGTAGAGACAGGGTTTCACCATTTTGAACAGCCTGGTCTCGAACTCCCAACCTCATGATCCACCCTTCTTGGCCTCCCAAAGTGCTGAGTCACCACACCTGGCCTATAATAAGCAATCTTGGTTGGATGTGGTGGCTCACACCTGTAATCCCAGCACTTTGGGAGGCCAAGGCAGCCAGATCATCTGAGGTCAGGAGTTCAAGACCAGCCTGACCAACATGGAGAAACCCTATCTGTACTAAAAATACAAAATTAGCCAGGTGTGGTGGCACATGCCTGTAATCCTAGCTACTTGGGAGGCTAAGGCAGGAGAATCACTTGAACCAGGAGGCGGAGGTTGCAGTGAGCTGAGATCGCGCCGTTGCACCCCAGCCTGGGCACAAGAGTGAAACTCAGTCTCAAAAAATAAATAAATAAGCAATCTTGACAGGCCAGGTATACCCTTTAAAACATTCACATATAAGAATTCCTCTCCTTATCTTCTCACAAGCAAACACCACCAGCATGTTTTCAAAGCGGCCAAAATTTCCATTCTTCTGGAGAAGGGATGGAAGGAATTCTAGAACTAGTTTCTCATAAGCCTGTGAGGAAAAACTAAAACTTGGCTGTGAGTGTGTGTGTTCCAAGAATGAAGACTGATTTGATTATAAGTTTATAACCTTTATGTTGCTGCAAAAGCTGCCTTTCCTTCCATCACTGTGACCATTTCATCTCCCTCACTGACATCCTACCACACCTCTTTCCCCTTGCTGTGGTCTGAATGCTTTTGTCCCCGCAAAATTCATGTTGAAATCCTAACCCCCAGTGTAGTGGTATGAGGAGATGGGGCCTGTGGGCAGTGATTAGATCATGAGAGGGCAGAGCCCTCATGAATGGGATAAGTGCCTTATAAAAGAAGCCTCAAGACCCATCATGTTCCTTTCACCGAATGACGACACAGCAGGAAGAGGCTATCTGCAGACCAGGAGGCAGACCTTCACAAGACACCAAATCTGCCAGCACCTTCATCTTAGACTTTCTAGTCTCTGAAACTGTGAGCAGTAAATGTCTGTTGTTTGTAAGCCACCCAGCTTTACGGTATTTTGTTATAGCAGTCCAAACAGACTTAAGTCCTCTCCCCTTCAACTTCAAAATTCTTAAGCTACTCTGTCTCTAACTTACTTCCTGAATTTTCTTAATCTCAACTTTTCCACACTTTCAGTTACTCAACAAGCTCTTGTCTAAGAGTTGAAGAGGATACAAGAAAAAGTGGCATGAGTATCTTTACTTTGGTGGAGTTTATTACCTGGCTAGAGAGATAATGATGCCCACAAAACAACTCTAAAGAAAGTACTTGCAGCCATACGGCTGAAATACTATTCCCATAGCTCATTACGCCAACATTCTTTCATCTAGTAAAACATAAAGACAAGAAACTGGACCCCTTCCTGACACCTTACACTAAAATTAACTCCAGATGGATTAAAGACTTAAACATAAGACCTGGCACCATAAAAACCCTAGAAGGAAATCTAGGCAAAACTATCCAGGACATAGGACTAGGCAAGGACTTCATGAACAAAACACCAAAAGCATTGGCAACAAAAGCCAAAATAGACAAATGGGACCTAATCAAACTCCACAGCTTCTGCACGGCAAAAGAAACAGTCACTAGAGTGAATCGGCAACCAACAGAATGGGAAAAAATTTTTGCAGTTTACCCATCTGACAAAGGGCTGATATCCAGAATTTACAAAGAACTCAAACAGATTTACAGGAAAAAAAACAAACAAGCCCATTCAAAAGTGGGCAAAGGATATGAACAGACACTTTACAAAAGAAGACCTATATGAGGCCAACAATCATATGAAAAAATGCTCATCGTCACTGGTCATCAGAGAGATGCAAATCAAAACCACATTGAGATACCATCTCATGCCAGTCAGAATGGCGATCATTAAAAAATCTGGAGACAATAGATGCTGGAGAGGATGTGGAGAAAAAGGCACACTTTTACACTGTTGGTGGGAGTGTAAATTAGTTCAACCATTGTGGAAGACAGTGTGGCGATTCCTCAAGGCCTTAGAAATAGAAATTCCATTTGACCCAGCAATCCCATTACTGGGTATATACTGAAAGACCTATAAATCGTTCTACTATAAGGACACATGTACACGAATGTTCATTGCAGCACTGTTTACAATAGCAATGACCTGGAATCAACCCAAATGCCCATTGATGATAGACTGGATTGGAAAAATGTGGCACATATACACCATGGAATATTATGCAGCAATCAGAAATGATGAGTTTGTGTCGTTTGTAGGGACATGGATGAATCTGGAGAACATCATCCTCAGCAAACTGACACAAGAACAGAAAATGAAACACCACATATTCTCACTCATAAGCAGGTGATGAAAAATGAGAACACATGGACACAGGGAGGGGAGTACTAAACACTGGGGTCTATTGGGGGGAAAAGGGGAGGGCCAGTGGGAGGGGGAGGTGGGGAGGGATAGCCTGGGGAGAAATGCCAAATGTGGGTGAAGGGGAGAAAGGAAGCAAAACACACTGCCATGTGTGTACCTACGCAACTGTCTGGCATGTTCTGCTCATGTACCCCAAAACCTAAAATGCAATAAAAAATTAAAAAAAAAAAAAAAAGATTACCTGAGCTGCAAAGAGAAAACAGCAAAGGAAAATTAAAGAGGAAGAAGAGAGGCCCATTAAGAACCAAGAGTGAAAGACTTCTGAGATCCTGGAAGGTAAAGAAGACAAACAGGGAATAGATTCTACAAATGCTAAAGAGATGGAACTGATAGGATTCCATGATTAATTCTGTTTGGAATAAAAAGTGAGTCTTTTGCCTGAGTAGGAAATAGGGGCATAATGGAAAAAGAGCAGCTTTGAGGTAGGAGTGAAACCACAAATAATAGAATATGTTTCCCATCATGATTCTGTACTTTTCAGTAATGTTATCTCCTGTTGACAGTTAGACATTGAATGAATAAATGATCCAAAAGGAAAAAAAAAAAACATAAAGACAAAATAAAACTCTCAAATATGAACATGGCCATGAAACATATCAAAAGTATAAGAAGTTGACATGTACCAAAGTATCAATTATATTTGTGTTAAATTTTTTCAATTTTCTGTAAATTCATAATTCACTAAAAATGTATTACATACAAAGCACTCACTGTGCTAGGTGCTAGGGAAAATATAAGAATAAATGAAACACTATGCTTATCTCCAAGACATTTACACACTGGTGAACTGAGTCACCATTACTTAAAGCTGTGAGCACATCAAGACTACACTTCTTGAGCCCCAGAAACTGTTAAAATATGTTTATGTTTAATGTTCCATTTCTTAAAGAATATTGAGTACTTTTTTTTTTAATAGATGGAGTTTCACTGTCACCCAGGCTGGAGTGCTCACGATCTCTGCTCACTGCAACCTCCGCCTCCTGGGTTCAAGCGATTCTCCTGCCTCAGCCTCCCAAATAGCTGGGATTACAGGCATGCACCACCATGCCAAGCTAATGTTTGTATTTTTCTTAGTAGAGATAGGGTCTCGCCATGGTGGCTAGGCTGGTCCCGAACTCCTGACCTCAGGTGATCTGCCCACCTTGGCCTCCCAAAGTCCTGGGATTACAGATGTGAGCCGCTGCACCCAGATATATATTGGGTAATTTTATTGAGTCTGGATAAATCTAAAAGCCTCTAAGATGAATAAATAATACATATTAAGATTCAACTGGCATAGTGGCTCACGCCTGTAATCCCAGCACTTTGGGAGGCTGAGGCAGGCAGATCACAAGATCAAGAGATGGAGACCATCCTGGCCAACCTGGTGAAACCGTCTTTACTAAAAATACAAAAATTAGCCAGGCATGGATACGCGCACGGTTACGCGCACCTTAGTCCCAGCTACTCGGGAGGCTGAGGCACGGGAATCTCTTGAACCTGGGAAGCAAAGTTTGCAGTGAGCCAAGATTGTACCACTGCACTCCAGCCTGGCAACAGAGTGAGATTCTGTCTCAAAAAAAAAAATTCAAAATATACTCAATGTTTATTAGACAAATATTTTTTTAAAAAATAAAGGTACATGTATAAAAAAAGAAATTTGAGATACATATAATTTACAAATCTGCTGATATTGATGTTTATTACTGACCATTTTAGTTGTGTATTTATCCATTGTTTATGACCTTCATAAATCAACCAGTGTATTAAATACCATGTTATTCACTAGTCCTGTTTCTGTTTAAATTATTCTAATAAGCCTCAAGGCCTAACATCAACTGTAAGTAAAGATTTTATAAATTATTTTCAAGGATGTTCCACATTCAATAGATGATCATTCTAGTGCTTTTGCTACAAGTAAATGCTTAAAGCAAGTAGATTTCCTCAAAAACCTACCCTTTCCTGGTATCGTCTTTCAAAGAAAGCCATATCATCCTCTTCAGGTCTCCTTATCGAAGAAACTTGACTACTTGTACCTACTAATGAGGAAAAAAAAATCTAAGTAATGTATTTACATCATTACATGTTCCCCTGAAATAAAAGAAAAAAAAGTTTTCTCCTGCCAAGTGATAACGGTTTATTTTTCAAACCAGAAATGGCCTAGATGAATAATTGGTCCTACTACCTAATTCTCTTTCAGAGAGAATGGCATCACAGGACAAACGTGTTTTTCACAGCAAACATTCTCCAAATATTCCACCAATCATATTAAATAGCACCATATAGCTATTCTGTATAAGACTGTGCTTAGTCTTGTCCAACTACTTTTCACATTGTATAACTAGAAATCCATGTTACACTTTGAGACAATGCATAAAAGTAATTATTGAGGCTTGGCATAGGCAGCCATAGTGATGATAGTAACAGCCTCAAAATGTTTCAAAACTTAACTATTTTAGCCATTTTTCATGGTACTCGCTTAGTAAAACTGATCAAGCACTAAATTATATGCTGAAAGGAATTTTTTAAATTGCTTCAGTAGGAAAAAATCTGGTTTTCTTGGTAGGTACCCCAAGAGCCTAATTTCATAGAAAAGTTCACTTTCATTGAGGGTGAATGTCTTCATGGGGTCCCTTCAATTCCAAAACAGAATTGCAAACTGAACACGTGTTCTTCTAGTTTGTAAAGTATATGAATTCACCCTCAATCAGCAACATGAAAACATGTAACTCCAGACAGTCACCACAGAGTACTACTACAGTCTATCGACTATCTTTGACAAGTCTTATTGAGAAGAGTGAAGGGATGCTTAGAATATGTGTTATCTACCTATTCCTCTGGAAACTCTAGGTCTATCTCTGGATCATATCAAACCATTTGAGCCAAGCCTCTTCCAGACTCATCTTCACTGAGTTGCATTATCATGGTATATTGCCATTTATCTAGTAAAATCTTATATCACAACTCATCAAAGGTGACTATCAGGCCGGGTGCAGTGATTCACACCTGCAGTCACAGCACCTGGGGAGGCAGAGACAGGTGGATTGCTTGAGCTCAGGTATTCGAGACCAGCCTGGATAACATGGCAAAACTCTGTCTCTACAAAAAATTCAAAATTTAGCTGGGCATGGTGGTGCATTCCTATAGTCCCAACTACTCAGGAGGCTAAGATAGGAGGATCACTTGAGTCAAGGAGGTGGAGGCTGCAGTGAGCCAAGATCACACCACTACACTCCAGCCTGGGTAACAGAGCAAGACTGTCTCAAAACAAAGGAAAAGAGGTGACTATCAGAAATAAGCAACCATTTGCTGTATTTGCTGAAAAAAAGCTTTCACTTTGGCCACTAATCACTCAGGGTCACTACACAGGCTTAAAATCCAGCATGCCCAGCCTGGAGCAGTGACACATAGCTGTAATCCTAGTGCTTTGGGAAGCTGAGGCAGGAGGCAGGAGGAGAGCTTGAGGCCAGGAGTTTGAGACCAGCCTAGTCAACATAGCAAGAAAAAAATTTTTAATTACCCAGGTGTGGTGGTACACCTCTACTCCTAGCTACATGGGAGGCTGAGGCAGAAAGATCACTTGAGCCCAGAAGTTCAAGGTTACAGTGAGCCGTGATCACACCACTGCACACCAGCTTGGGCAACAGAGCGAAAAGTTGTCTCAAAAAAAAAAAAAATCCAGCATTGGTGTAACATTCATTAGCACTGAGGAACTCCGGTTTCCTCCTGTCTAATAAAAAAAAAAAAAAGCATTTAATTGACTGCACCTTCCTCTCTGCCTTGGCTGCCACTAACTTCAGTCAAAACTGAAATTTAAACAAAGCAATTACATTAACCTGGAAAGCTGCCACAATTGTGCCCTTTTCTTGGCTTCTTTCTTCTATATATATTTTATCATTATATACTGAGTCGTATGTTGCAAACAGGCTTACAATTCCTTGTGAGAAATGTCTAGGTGTGTGAAAATACAGATAAATCAAAGAAAATTCTCATTTTAAAATATTGTAAAATACTAAATTTTAAATACCTAATAAGTCATATAAATTCATTCTTCTTGTTTTCATTAAGGGAAATATAGCATACTGGTGATTAAAAGGAATTCTTCTTGCTCTTAATTTATAAACGATAACCTGCTAACCTATGGTTATCACTGGATTATGCCTCTTTGGGAAAACCCAAAGGCAGTTAGTCCACCAGAGGGCCCTCTTATTCAAACACCAGAGCAACCGCACGTACCAGAACAAGGTTTAAAACTTTAAATTATAATATTATCAGAATCCTCAAAATTCTCAGAGTTAGCTATTTTTCCCAATACAAAATTAAGTTGCTTGCTTTTTCTCATTGTGTGGCTAACATAAAAGAAAGTAAAATGATAGATTAACTTGAAGTTAAATTATCGTAATAATGGAAAAAAAAAGAAGCCTCGAAAACAAATCAATGCTCCATATTCTAATTGACTACATCCAAAAATAGTTCTAAATTAACTTCATTACCATCTGTTAACGTTTCTGGAGAAGAACTAGATGATGCTTGAAATGCTTTTAGGAATGGGTGAGCTACTGCCATAGTGGGAGATTCTAAAAATTCCACTGAAGGTGCACCTGTGCAAACAATACATAGAGAATAAAAATTAAATATTTACAAGGATACAAACAAATTATTACCTTTTTCTTTTTTTAAGATTGGATTTCACCATGATGGCCAGGCTGGTCTTGAACTCCTTGGCCAAGACCCACCTTGGCCTCCCAAAGTGCTAGGATTACAGGCATGAGCCACCATGCCTGGATACAAGTTATTACTTCTAATGTAAAATAAATTGGAATCTCAGCACAATCATTAGAAATTCCTCCCATAAAAAAAATTTTTAGACTGGGTGCAATGGCTCATGCCTATAATCCCAACACTTTGGAAAGCCAAAGCAAGAGGATCACTTGAAGCCAGGAGTTCAAGATCAGTCGTGGCAACACAGGGAGACCCCATCTCTAAAACAACAACAACAACAAAAATTAGCTGGGCATGGTGGGTACTTGGAAGGGTAAAGCAGGAAGATTGCTTGAGCCCAGGAATTTGAGGCTGCAGAGAGCTATGATCACATCACTTCACTGGATCCAGCCTGGGTAACAGAGTGAGACCCTATCTTTCTATTTAGATTTTTGTCTGACATATAAAGGCAAGTGGGTAAATGTATTCTGCACATTTCTGAGATCTTTTTCACAGAAAAAAGAATATTATGTACATATGTTAGCATAGAAGTTCAAAACCCTAATATATAATAGTTACAAAACACTGTGAAAAGCAAGACATTCACAGTAAGGAACCTCTGGCTGAAAAGGGTAGAGTAAGTATATTTTTACTCCATTCCTTACTAGGAAACCATCTAAAAACAAAGTATGAAAAATAAAAAGAAAGTACCTCTTCAATGAAATGAGGAAACATCCACAACTCCAAACCATAAACTACAAAGACCAATTGCTGAATACATTGAGTTTTGGACTAAAAGGAAGGAAGCTGCGGAGAAAATGTGTAGCTGCTCTGTCTTCTTCATAAGCCACCACCTTTCCCCGATACCCCTAACCCTATATCACAGAGAAAGGAAAGCAAGTGAACTTTTAGTCCTAATTGGGTTAGAAGTTAGCTCTATCTTAAAACATAGACAATGTGGGACGACTTCTCTGTCTCTCCCCTCTCCTGTCCCCAGTGGCTCTCATGGGGCATCTGGGAATATGACAGAAGGTGCTCTGGTCCACATAGGTCTTTGTGCTGCCCTCTGGTGGCTGCATGTGCTACTGAGCTTAAATGCTCAACTTGAATTTAATAAGTTGGTCTCTCAACTTGATACAGCCTCCTAGCCTCATGCTTGCTCCCACCGGAGGTACAGACTCCCTCAATGCCTGTCACTTCCTCTATTGAGTCCCCCAGCTTAGGGGACCCACCTCCAGCTCTGCCCCCTGCTATGACAGGTGGCATGGCAGACCCACTCACAGGTTAGCTGCTGGGAATTATGGACTTCAACATCAAAAAAGAACCAAATTCCAGCAAGAGGTTTCCTCACTCTAGATATCCACGTGGCTAATAGATAGACATGCAGTCCCTCTGCCCCTAGGTTCCTCCATACCTGAAATCAGGATAAAAACCTCTATTATTTCCTTTCATCACTCTCTCCTTTCTTCACCCCACCTTCTTTCATGGACCAAAAGGAAGAGGTTTTCTTTCTCTATACAGTCATGTGTCACATAAGACATTTTGGTCAACAGTGGGCTGCATATACAATGGTGGCCCCATAAGATTATAACAGAGCTGCCCTATAAAAGTATAACATTTTATTTATTTCTTTTGAGACAGGGTCTCTCTTTGTCCCCAGGCTGGAGGGCAATGGCACCGTCACAGCTCACTGCAACCTCTAAATCTCAGGCTCAGGTGGGATGTAGCCCTCACCAAGTAGCTGGAACTACAGATACACACATTATACCTCGCCCAGCTAATTTTTTGTATTTTTGTAGAGACAGAGTTTCGCCATGTTGCCAGGCTGGTCTCAAACTCCTGGGCTCAAGCAATCTGCCTGCCTCGGCCTCCCAAAATGCTATAAAGTGCTTAACAAATATAAGGCTTCACTATTGTTAACACATATGAAAACAACAGGCTCACATTTCATATAGTATCACTTACCAATACCACTGTCATCTAATCGCATGTAGCCTTCTGCCAGCGAGCTGAAACCAGTTAATCCTCCCATGGCTGCAGAAGGAACATCCTGTCCCACTGGTTTTCCCTGAGCCAATCTTTCTTGCTTAGTTTCCACGACTGTGTCATGGGCATATGCAGGCTGACCACAAGCACAAGTGAAGCAGCTATGGAATCCGGAACACTTGGAACCTGAATCAAGATGGAAAAGGAGTTACATTATTTTTTCTTTCTTGAGACTGAGTCTCACTCTGTCACCCAGGCTGGAGTGCAATGGCACACTCTGGCTCACCAAAAGCTCTGCCTCCTGGGTTCAAGCAATTCTCCTGCCTCAGCCTCCCAAATAGCTGGGACTACAGGTGTACGGTAGCACACTCAGCTAATTTTTGTATTTTTAGTAGAGATGGGGTTTCACCATGTTTGTGAGGCTGGTCTCAAACTCCTCACCTCATGATCCACCTGCCTCGGCCTTCCAAAGTGCTAAGATTAAAGGTGTGAGCCACCGCGCGCGGTCCGGAGTTAAATTCTTAAAGGTACTAACTTGTCCACCCTAAAGATACTTAGCCTGGCTAAGGTCACATGAATCTAGATCCTCTGGCCCCTATAACTCTTACCTCCAGACACTGAACTCCTTCCTAGGCACTGTTCTTACTTGTAAAACATGCTGAAGTAGTAACCAGGTATGCCATAGGAAAAAAAACCCTGCAAAAAACAAGGACTAAAAGAAACTGAAGAGCCAGGTATGCGGGCCCTCTCCTCACAAACTGAATTAAAAGCAGGCATGGCAGGGACAGCCCAGTGGCCACCACCAGGTGAAGAGATAATGTAGAAATCTTCCTACAGATCAACTCCCCAAAAAAGCCAAATTGGAAGACCAACCTGTAGACACAGAAAGCATGCAGTGGAATCTTGTTCAGCAATAAAAAGCAAAGAAGTATTGATATAGGCTACATGGATGAATCATGCAAACATCATGCTAAATGAAGAAGCCAGTCACAAAAGATCACATATTCTATGATTCTAGTTATACAAAACGTCCAGAATTGGTAAATCCAAAAAAAAAGTAGATTATAGGTTGCTCAGGGCTGAGGAGAGGGAAAAATAAGGAATGACTCCATAATAGTGAATATGGGGTTTCTTTTGGGGGTGAGAAAAATGTTCTGAAGTGTATTGTGCTGGTGGTTACACAACATTCACTCCGATTATGTATTAAAAATCATTAAACTGTACAGTTTAAATTGGTTAACTGTATGATATGTAAATTATGTCTTAGCAAAGTGGTTATATAAAAAATCAAGCCATATGGTATGGAGGTCAGAATATAATAAAGATTAACAAAATCTTTACCCACTCACATCTCTGACAAATATATATGGGAATAGCCAGGTGTGCTGGCTCACATCTGTAATCCCAGCACTTCGGGGGCTGAGGCGGGCAGATCACCTGAGGTCAGGAATCCAAGACCAGCCTGGCCAACATGGCAAAACCCTGTCTCTACTAAAAATACAAAACTTAGCTAGGTTGGTGGTGGGTGCCTGTAATCCCAGCTACCCAGGAGGCTGAGGCAGGAGAATCACTTGAACCCAGAGGCAGAGATCATGCTACTGTGTGACAAAAGCAAAACTCTGTCCCAAAAAACAAAACAAAACAAACAAACAAAAAATATATATACATATATATGGGAACCAAGGTACATAAATAAATCAGTTTTCTCCAGCTATTTCCATATTCAGCCAATGAAACATTTATTACTGCCGCCGTCAATGAAAATGCTTTATTACATATTTCATCATAAGATTTCAACTCAAATGACTACAAAAACAACTGGATTAACTATCTCCTGAAGGAAACTAATGGACTGGTACCCTACCTAGTGCAATGGATGATCCGGTGTAAGGGCATATGGGGTAGTGGTTGGAATTTGGGTACATGTATTAAGGTAAGGGTGCTATTGCATACAAAGCATTAAAATCATCATGCTATTTTAATCTATCAGCAAACCATAAAAATTTTTTGACTTATCAAATGCCTTTTTAAAATCTATGAATAGAATTTAGTTGATTAAATTCCCATATTCAAAAATTTGAATCAGATCACATCTGATAATTCTTTAAAATCCATTACTATTACTTAAATTATCTGAACTACATGAGATGAGGGTTTATGATTACGAAGCATACCATTAACTCTGAGTTCTTTCACAAAAATGAAATCTTGGAGTATTTATCCATTGAATTTTCCTTAGTTGCTTAATATTAATGCTACAACTGAATATTAACTCTACAACTAATACAACTGAATATTAACTCTCTGACCAGTACAAAGGCACATTAAATATTCAATGAGGACATAGAAACCTTCTGGGTTTGTGTATTAATAATAATGTAACTCACATGCATTGCATGTAAAGCCAGGCGCAGCACTGTGCTGATCAGCAAAGTGTTTGCACCTGCAGCGAATGGGCTGGGTACCATTCAAGGGGACATAATGGTAAGCCCTGCACTGGCAGCCAGTCACTCGGCAAGGCAGATCAATGGGGCGCTGCTCGGGAATCGTTTCCAAGTCAGTTTTATGTTGTTTATACCTAGAGAAAGAGAGAGAGAGAGAGAAGTATAAACACAATGTAGGTATTATCTAAAATTACAATTTCTATTCTATTAAAGGCAGACATGATTTTTAAATTGTTATGGCTTTATTATTCTTGTTAGTAAGGTGAAACTCTCCTACATGTAGTACTTACATCCGCTATCTTGCTTTGGTCAAAGGAAATCTTCACTCTTTTAGATTTCTATTTGTAGTTACTTAAGAAGTTGCTTCACAGCAATACAAAGAAATATCATATAATTTCCTTAAAATATTTACCTCTACAAATTCCTTAACATAGAAGCACAACCTAAGAGTATGAAAAATTTTCTTTATAAAAGTTATTTTTATCCAAGTGCATTATTTAAATTTATTTGCATACATTTGCTACCTGAAATAGAAATATATTCAATAAACATGTATTGATGTAATTTATTTTAATATAACTTTTGACTTCAAAATAAATGATTGATATTTTTGAAAGTCAAAGGTCCTTCTTATAGTAGTAATTTTCTTAAATAGGCCACTCACTTCTTTCTCATAAGGTGATATTGAGTAAAATAATACTAAATTTATTATTCTCAATATTAATCAAAGAAATGCAAATTAAAATGAGATACCACTTTAACTTAGCAAAAAGAATCAAAGTTTTTTAGAACCATATGTAATACACAATGCTATCAAGAGTGTTACAAAAGAGCCAGGCGCTGGTGGCACATACCTATAATCCCAGCACTTTGGGAGGCTGAGGCAAGTGGATTACTTGAGCTCAGGAGTTTGAGACCAACCTGGGCAACATGATGAAACCCCATCTCTACTAAAAATACAAAAATTGGCCAAGTATGGTGGCACACGCCTGCAGTCCCAGCTACTCAGGAGGCTGAGGCAGAAGAATCCCTTGAACCCGGGAAGCAGAGGCCACAGTAGGCTGGGACAGCACCACTGCACTCCAGCCTAGGTAACAGAGGGAGACGGTGTCAAAAAAAAAGTGTTATAAAAGAACAAATTCTATTTAATAATTTAAAAATGTTTCAAGAAACTTTAAAAAGTCCATTCTTTAAACCAGAAATTTCATTTTTGGAAAATATACACTAAGAAAATAATTCTATATATAGAAAAGCTTAATGCAATAAATATAATACCAATAGTATTAGCAATATTACTTACATCAGCTACATTACACACACACACACACACACACACACACGAAAACCAGTAAGTAAATTATTAGACAACAGTTTTCAACCCTCTTAGCAGTGAAATCTTTTTGTAAAATAAAATATTTTACAGAACCAGAATATATAAAACAAATGCAGAATTAGTTACAGCAAGAGGAAGAACAGAATAGAGTTTCCCCTTCCCCTAACCTTCCCTTCCACCTGGCATGCCCCCAGGCCTCTCTCACAGGCCTGGGGGACACAGATAAACACCACTGGACTGGCTGGACTAGCTGGAAGTTATTAAAAAGCTTGTTTTTGATCAGTGCACAACAACATGGAAACATTTCTGTGATTCTGTTATTAAAAATTGGCTCAGTATTTTATGCACATACATAATTAACAACAATTAAATGGACCATGTAAAGAAAGAGTCGTACAGATATTGTAAAAAAAAAAAAAAGAAAGAAAATTAGCAGCTGGTTTTGGGTAGTGAGCTGCTTCTATATATCCTATATAGAATATAGAATATATTCTATGTTTCTATATATTCCCCATGTTCCTCAATAATCATGTATCACTTTTATAGTGGGGAAAAAGAGTTTAGGAAAAGATCTCACTGAGTGGATCACTACTAAATATATTAACTTCTCCATCAAAGTTGAGTTGGGTCAGCTGAGCATGGTGGCTCACAAGTGTAATCTGAGTACTTTGGAAGACCAAGGTAGACAGATTACTTGAGCCCAGGAGTTCTAGAACAGTCTGCGCAATAAAGCCAAACTGCATCTCTACAAAAAAATACAAAAATTAGCAGGGTGTGGTGGCACACACCTGTGGTCCCAGCTACTTGGGAGGCTGAGGTAGGAGGAGCCCAGGAGGTCAAGGCTGCAGTGAGCCAAGATCATGCCACTGCACTCCAGCCTGAGCAACAGAGTAAGAACCTGTCTCAAAAAAAAAAAAAAAAAGTTGAGTTAGATCAATTTTGAGGTTCAAGTCCATGCTGTACAAGTTATACAGAGATTAGAAAGTGGCACTAAATTTGTGTAAGAATAAACTATAAAACTATCATAAACCTTACCAAACCCTTCTTTAATTCTGAAAGATATCAACACATCCCTTATCCTCCATTCCTCCTCAGTGTTTTTAGTTGGGGTTGCTAAATAAATTTATAGTCAATCTATATACAACATTACTCACCCTAGCAACTACCTAATAAACTTGGGCAAACTGCAGCTCTGTAAATAGCAACTATACAAAGAGTCTCTGTGAAAGAGTCCCAGAAATTGCTATCAGAATAGGGTGGTTCCTCTTGGAACAGAAAGTTAAAGTTGCTACCCGAAAACAGAATAGCTTCAGAGACTTTTCTGTGAAGCAGCTTAGGCACTCCGAACTTTACAACTGTGAGACGGTAGCAAAATTTAAAGTAGAGCCTACACACAGCAAAATGCCAAATGCAGATACAGGCAACTCAGGTCAAAAACTGGAGCCTCCCTTACTTACTTCCTTTCCTTTCAGCACTTTTCTTAGAACATGACCATTTGTAATACAAAGCAGTGTGTTTGTTTAAAGAAAGGTGTCAACACAGCAGCTCCTTAAGGTATAAAAGGCAATTAGTAAATTTGAGGAGAAATGTTTATACTTACAGATGGACAGCGTGGTCAGTGTGGATCAGTTCAAGCAATGCTTAAAGTAGTTCCTCAATCTGATGACCCATTCTCTACCTTCTCCAGTGATGCCAGATGTGGGTACTCTGCTCCCCAGTCAAACTGAAAGACCCCTGGCAAAGCCACAGGACCACCAAACATTTTTACTAATGGCAAGAGAACTGCTTAAGGTGACAGACTCCATCATGAGTTCTAATAGGATATGACAGAAATTTTTTAATTATACCTTTAAAAACCTCTAGATAATTCTTGTTTTTTAAGAGACAAGGTTTCACTCTGTCACCCAGGATGGAATGCAGTTGCACCATCAGAGCTCACTGCAGACTAGAACTCCTGGGCTCAAGCGGTCCTCCTGCCTCAGCCTCCCAGAGTTCTGAGATAACAGATGTGAGCCACCATGCCCAGCTGATAATTTCTACTCTACTGTATAAAGGACAATTGTTACATGTTTCTCAATCGTCATAGTTTCATTTGTAGAAGTAAGATATGCTTAGCTTTTTATTTTCTAACTATCGAAAAACTTAGCAATAAAATATCTTACCTATGTGTACAAAAACACAGTGTCTCTGGGCCCACAAGTTTACAATCCATCCCAGTTGGTGACCGCCAGCTCACAAATAATCTGTTTTGTAGGCGCAGAGGTAAAACTTTTCTTTTGTATTCTTCATATTCTTCAGGAGTAAAAAGTTTCCCTCCATCATCCTCACCAACAATTCTACAACAAAAAAAATAAATTTCTCTTAAACTTTGAGTATTTATTTTCCAGGCAAGCAATGACCAGGCCACTGCAAATATTAAATAAGTTTGTAAGTTTTTATTCTGTACATCTGTCCTTTCTTACAGGGGTGGCAGGCCAGGTCTCCAGAACAACTGTTTCAGCACTGAATGAGTAGTTAAGTTAAATATTAAAAGCTGATAGAGCCAGTGTCCTTATCCAAAGGCTGGAATGTAATAAAAGCCCACCAGGAGTTTTGCCTAGGCCTTTTCTGGGCCTTGAAGCATGACAAGATAACAAAGGAATTCTTAAAGGACCTGTTTAGGACTAACAAGTTTATTAGGGGGTCTGAAGAAACTCCCCAGACCTCTGCAAACAAGTTTTTTGGGGGTCTGAAGAAACTCCCCAGATCTCCATGATTTAGCAGGAGACAAGATAAGGGTAATCACCCCAGCACCTGGACCGATTTAGATTAAGTAAATTTACTGAGGCTCCAGATTCAGGACTCAGATTTTAGATACAGATTACTGAAGACATAAGTGATTAACTTATGTCTTTAGTGATTTATATTACTAAAGTTGAGTGGGATCAACTTATGTTAATCACTTATGTCTTTAGACAAATGCACACTTACATGTAAACATATAGCATAGGAGGTATATAAACACTGGAAAACTTTGTAATTTTGAGTTGGTCTGGCGATATATCTTCCAGGCCTTCTCCCTATACCTAGTTACAGAAATAAACTCCCTTCTTTCCCAGTTCATATGCATCGCATTATTGGGCCGAGAGAATAAGAAGCCCGACCCTCTGTTTGATCTGCAATCAATCACACGCACCTCAGCCATAAACCTCGTGGTGGCTGAGAAAAGAAATCTTTTCTCCCCTACCCTTTCTATATAGGAAGATTATAAATTGGAAAGACAATGAACTCATAACATGACTTTACTGATCCAGGTTTATCAACAGAGGATTACCATACATTCATCTCAGTTTTTCCTCCGATACTGAAGCAAAGATGCTCATTCTTCTCATTAAAAGTAGAGGCTTAACTGCTAAAAATTCTAACATTTTCCTGCTTTGAAAATGTATCCAAAAAGAAATACAAAAAAAAATCAAAGCAGAAGCCACCGTGTCTAATTTTCCTACCTGTCTCCAAGCCTGGCCAGGAATTTAAACTAATGTGGAACCTACATACACACTTGGTTCAGCACAAGCTCAAACCACAGCTGTGTGTTAGGTATTCAGGTTTATCATTGTTTAACTTCGGAAGTAAGAACCCACAATTTTATGGGAAAACATTAAGCCCTCATTATTTCTATGAAAAGAAAGTAAGAGTTGGCCTCCCTGGAGGAAAAGAAAGCACGATTAAAAGAAGTTTTTCAAAACTGAAGACATTTCTCCCTGGAAATACTCCCCTTGAAAAGTCACAAAAAGTGTTGTTTGTAGAATGCTATATACTTTTTTGTACAATACACGCTTTTTTCCATACTTTGAAGTCTTTAGCCAAAGTAGAAAATAAAATCCATTGCTCTACGTACTTGCCACTAAAACAAAAAAAAAGAAAAACCAATTTATAAGCTATAAAATAATCACAACCATCTTTCTTACATAAACAATCTAGATACATAATAGTAAACAAATTTAAAAAACAAAGGGCATTTAATTCTGAGATAAATTTTGGGCTATTTCACTTCCTTTTTTTTTTTGAGATGGAGTCTTGCTCTGTGGTTCAATCTCAGCTCACTACAACCTCCGTCTCCAGTATTCAACTGATTCATCTGCCTCAGCCTCCTGCGTAGCTAGGACCACAGGTGCACACCACCATGCCCAGCGAATTTCTGTATTTTTAGTAGAGGCGGGGTTTCACCATGTTGGTCAGGATGGTCTCGATCTCTTGACCTTGTGATCCGCCAGCCTCAGCCTCCCAAAGTGCTGGGATTACAGGCGTGAGCCACTGAGCCCAGCCATTTCACTTTCTTGTAGCTATCAAGAATACCAACAGGTATTAAGATCTTAAGATAGATACAGATCTTTAAAAGATCTTTTAAAAGTTAGATGTCATTGGTATTTAAGTTCTAAACCAGTGCAACTCAAATTTTATTGTACTTACAGAATCCTCAGGGGATCTTATACAAATGCAGATTAAGACTCACAGTGAAGTGGCTCACGCCTGTCATCCCAGCACTTTGGGAGGCTGAAGCAGGCGGATCACTTGAGGTCAGGAGTTCAAGACCAGCCTGGCCAATGTGGCAAAACCCCATCTCTATCAATAATACAAAATTGCCCTGGGCGTGGTGGTAGGCGCCTATAATCCCAACTACTCTGGAGACTGAGGCACTGAGAATTACTTGAACTGCGGAGGCAGAGGTTACAGTGAGCTAAGATGGCACCACTGCACTCCAGCCTAGGCAGCAGAGTAAGACTCCATCTAAAAAAAAAAATGATTGATAGACAGATACACACACATACACACACACACACACACACACACACACACATACAAGATAAGGCCAGGTGTGGTGGCTCACACCTGTAATCCCAGCACTTTGGGAGGCTGAGGTGGAAGGATTGCTTGAGGACAGGATCTCAAGATGAGCCCTGGCATCATAAGTGAGACCCCATCTCTACAAAAAAGTTAAAAATTAGCTGAGTGTGGTGATGCATGCCTATAGTCCCAGCTAGTTAGGAGGCTGAGGTGAGTGAGTCACTTCAGCTCAGGAGGTTAAGGTTGCCCTCAGCCATTACGGGCACCACTGCACTCCAGCGTGGGTGACAAAGTGAGGCTCTGTCTGAAAATAATAAATAATAATAGTCTAGAGTGGGCCTGTGATTCCGCTTTTCTAACAAGCTCTCAGGTGATGACAGGACACTGGTCAGTGCCTCCCATACTGTAACAAGGCTATATGCTTTCCCTCTCAACTGACTCCCACCAACGTACCTAGGCAAGACCAAATGGAGGAAAATTCTTAGGAAGGAACGTTTGTTTCCTTCTAAACTCATAAGTTGACTCATCTTCCCACCCCACCTTCCTGGTCCACCCTTTTATATCTAGGCACTCAAGTCCTGTTTTCCCCATTTTTCTAAAATTCTGATGTCACTAAAGGACCTGATCATCTCTTTCAGAGGGAAGTGTTTCAAGTTATTTATGTTTGCAAAAATAATTTCCCAGCTGGGTGCGGTGGCTCACGCCTGTAATCCCAACACTTGCAGAGGCGGAGGCGGGCAGATAGCTTGAGCCTAGGAGTTCAAGACCAGCCTGGGCAATATGGTGAAATCCCATCTCTACAGAAAATACAAAAGGTAGCTGGGCGCCATGGCGGGCGACTGTAGTCCCAGCTACTCGGGAGGCTGAAGCACAAGAATCACTTCAATCTGGGAGAAGGCGATTGCGGTGAGCCAAGATGGCACCACTGCACTCCAGCCTGGGCAGTGGAGCCAGACCCTGTGTCAATAAAATAAATACATAATTTCCCACCAGGTCTGCCCCTAACATGTTCGGGGCTAGGCAAGAGTCAACTGGAGGCCCACAATTCACATATCTATATACAAATTATCAGTCAACACCAGCTCCAGCAACTTCCTCCCAGGGAAAAGCTCCGGAAAAATGGAGGCTCAAGGAGCCGGCTCTGCTATGGGGGAAGATGGGATGGTGGCTGTTTTGACCCTGAACCAGGCGTGGGAACTGACCCCATCAAGCTCCTAGCCTTTCTTCTTCTGGCTTAGAATCTCCAGGCAGTTCTAAGGGTTACCCAAAACTACACCAACGTGGCAGTCAGAGTGGGGGAGCGCAGTCAGCTGGGGGTTCATCAGCACACACACCTCAGGGTCATCCGGGCTGCCCACGATCCCACAGAGGAGGCCCTGTCTCTCGCTCCAGCGTCCCGGCAAAGCCTGCAGCATCTCCCCTCTGCTTGTACACATACATCCTCCCGCCACAAGTCCGCGTCCTCTGCCGGTCCTCCCCAGGACTTCACATCCGCCCAGGTTCGCGACCACAAAAACCCCAGGAAGTGGGAAAAGAGCGAGTCGCCGCAGGTACACCAGCCTTGGTCAGGACTCAGGACAATGAACGGTGTCCTCAGGCCAAAGGAGCAGCTACGTTTCCAGTTTCGAAGGAACGCCGAACACCAGTCGGTGCCTTTCTCCTAAAACCAGCACCTGGGGGTAGGGAGCGCGTTCAGAAGTTCACGGTTGGCCCTAATACTGGGTTAATTTGGTGTCTGCTAACATCTATAGCCCCGAGTACTCGATGTGTATGTCTTCAATGGCCACCATTTAAAAAACAGCTGGACCTCTGCATCAATCTAGAGGTAGTCATCCTTCTTGGAAGGGAAGAGAGGGACCTCTTAAATGGCTTCGGAAGACTGATCCCTGCATAGAACTGCGTGATCCTACAATATTTAATTAGGGAAAGGCTAATCTGGAATTCATCTAGGCCTGCCCAAACACCCTATACACAGATTCCGAGAAGCCCCGCGGACGCCCGCTGGGCCCCTGCCCCAGCCGCCAGCCCTGAGGTCCTGGCTCCCCAGCGAGGCAGAGGCCCGGCCCGGAGCCACAGCCTCACCTCCGGTACTCCAGGTACTCGTCCACCGCCGCCGCGCCGCCAGGAGGCAAGGTCAGCCTCTCCATGGCTGGCGGGGAAGCCAAAGGCGCCGATCCTACGCGCCGGCGGACAGCTGAGCCCGACCCAGCCCCGCCCCTCCCTACGCCGCGCCCCCTCCCGCCCGCCTCCCTATTGGCCCGTCCTGAAGCCCGAGGACGCCGCGCGCGGCTACTGCGCAGGACGCGCGTCCCTACCTGGTAGTGGGCGCCCTGCATCAGAACCCCTGTCTCCTTAAGCGCAGCCCCGCGCCACTTAGAGTGCAGTTTGCCACCCTCCGCAAACCTTGCCCCTGTTCCTCTCTCCCTTTCCCTGGACCCGCAAGTCTTCTTGTAAATTAACAAGTGACGAGGGAGTGCAGTGCCTTGCGTATTATAGGAGCATAGAAAATGGCTTCTTTGTACAGCTCTTTTCGCTTAATCCATCTCTTGAAATATAAGTGGTTTCGAGAAGGTTCTGCTTTAGTTTGAGGCCCGCCTCTCCTTAACTGTCGGCCTGTTTCCAGTATTGGCGTTTTTTAAAACTGTGATGTAAATCAGTAATCCTGGGTGTCTCATTCACTTTGGGGGATGCTAAAGCAACAGTGTTCTTCAAAGGAACCGAATCACTGATTTAAAGAGACCAAGTAAAAACAATTTAGGTACTTTTTTTTTTTTTTAACTTTTGGTAACACTCTACCAACTATATTTAGAAGCTGAATTACCATGCGATTGGAAATTTGGCCATAATTTGACTTAGCACATTGTGGAAAAGAAGTAGGAAATCCCGTCTCTACAGAAAATACAAAAATACAGGAGGGGTTATAAACTCTGAAGCTCCCAGGGGATCAGCTTCCGCGCCCTCTGTAAATTATCTAGGAGGGAGAATCTGCAAACCGTAAGAAAAATAACTAAACTTCAGCACAGAATTTTATTTTCAAAGTACATTTCTACATATTTCAGGTCCAGAAAACATTATGTAAACAAATTGTTTGGGTACCACCTCCTCCCTTCTCTGTGCTCTTTCAACATCTCCTACCCTCTCCCCAAAGTCTTCCTCCTGTTCAGAGACATTCTTGATACCCAGAAAAATTAGTGATCCTGAAATCGGATTCATTTTTTAGGAGACAGAGCTGAGCTTAGTAATCTCTCCTATCACACCTGCAGTTTGCTGCTGCCCATTTTACCTTTTTTTTTCCCCCTCCCCCACGGATTCTTGCTCTGTCACCCAGGCTGGTGTGCAGTGGCTCCATCTCCCAACCTCTGCCTCCTGGGTTCAAGCAATTCTCCTTCCTCAGCCTCCTGAGTAGCTGGGATTACAGGCACAAACCACCATGCCTGGCTTTTTTGTTTTTGTTTTTGTTTTTGTATTTTTAGTAGAGATGTACTTTCACCATGTTGGCCAGGCTGGTCTCAAACTTCTGACCTTGTGATATGCCCACCTCAGCCTCCCAAAGTGCTGGGATTACAGGCATGAGCCACTGTGCCCAGCCCCATTTTACCTCTTTATGAGACCCTAGTCTTGCTTTTAGGCAGCACTAAACTAACAAAAAAAAGAGAAGAAAATGCCAGGCTCTGCAAGCTTACAGAAAAGTGGCAGGGGAATGTCTGTGTAGGCACGTACAATTTAAAGAATCTAAAGGGGAATGGTTAAAATAGATTTAGTGCAATTGTGGACTCTTCCAGGAAGATGCTGGAGCAGTAAACTCTTTTTGCCAAAGAAGTCAACAAAAATATTGAGCACGACGAATAAGAGTATGGAACAAACTAGAAAATGTTATCCTAACCTTACATAAAACTGACACCTTTGCAAATTAAAATGCTGTATAAGGTTCTGACCTCCGCTTTAATAAAAAGGTATAATCAAACCATAACTTCCTCCCAAAATGTAGCCAAATTGATCTAGGAAGTAGGATGGACAGAGGAACATACAAGTTGCCTAGGCGAGTGTTAGGCATTTTATTTAATCAATCCTCATAAAAGTTTATGAGATAGGAATTGCCAGCATTTTGCTGTGATGTATAGGTTAGGAATGCTTTCTTCTGCAAATAACAGAATCATTCAACTAACAGTGGCTTGATTAAACATAAATTCTATTTTTTATTGCTCTAAAGAATGTGGGGTAGGTAGTTACTCACATTGGTTTAGAGCATTTTCCTCATGGTTGCAAGAGCTGTTACAGCTCCAGAAATCATATCCAAATTCAAGAAAGGAAAAAGGAGTGCCACCAACATCATTTGTTCCTTTTATCAAAGAGTTTTCCTAGAGGCCCCTCTGCAAAAAGATTTTCATTTATATCTCATATGGCCACCCCTTGGTATAAAGAAGACTGAGAAAGCCAATCCAGTACTTAGGTTTCCAGGCTCTGTGATAACAATTTTCTTTTTTTTTTTTTTTTTTTTTTTTTTTTTTTTTAGTAGAGACGGGGTTTCACCATGTTGACCAGGATGGTCTCGATCTCTTGACCTCGTGATCCACCCGCCTCAGCCTCCCAAAGTGCTGGGATTACAAGCATGAGCCACTGCGCCCCGCTATGATGGCAATTTTCAAGGAGAGGGTTAAAAATATGTGTTGGGGTGAGGCATGGTGGCTCATACCTCTAATCCCAGCACTTTGGGGCCCAAGGTGGGTGGGTCACCTGAGGTCAGGAGTTCGTGACCAGCCTGGCCAACATGGTGAAACCCTGTCTCTACTAAAAATACAAAAATTAGCCAGGCATGGTATCAGGTGCCTGTAATCTCAGCTACTGGGGAGGCTGAGGCAGGAGAATTGCTTGAACCCAGGAGGCAGAGGTTGCAATGAGCCAGGATTGCACCACTGCACTCCAGTCTGGGTGATGATAGTGTAACTCCAGAAAAAAGAAAAGAAAGAGAAAAAGGAGGGAGGGAGGGAGGGAGGGAGGGAGGGAGAGAAGGAAGGAAGGCAGGCAGGCAGGCAGGCAGGAAGGAAGGAAGGAAGGAAGGAAGGAAGGAAGGAAAGGTGTGTTGGGTTAAAAATGTATTTAGTTCACCAAAAAACATGGTGAATGACAGTTCATCTTTAAAGTAAGTGATATCCATGCATACCCTTCTTCCCATGCAGGCATTGTACACTAAATGCATTCATTAGACCCCTAACAAAGGCAGTCCCAAAATCTCAACCAGCTACTGCACCCAGCTTGAAGTCTAAGTCTCTGCAATCTTCTCTATCAATCATTCTTAATCCTGATCAGTCGGATTCTTATTGTCTTAATGGTTTGACAGTTGATAGCTACAAGACAAGAAAGATAATTCTTCAGTGTGTATGTCTAACAGATAACTTGGTTTTGGTTTTCGTTTTGGTTTTGGTTTTTTTGAGACGGAGTCTCGCTCTGTCACCAGGCTGGAGTGCAGTGGCACAATCTCGGCTCACTGCAACCTCCGCCTCCAAGGTTCAAGAAATTCTCCTGCTTCAGCCTCCCGAGTGGCTGGAACTACAGATGCGCACCACCATGCCCAGCTAATTTTTGTATTTTTAGTAGAGACAGGGTTTTACCATGTTGGCCAGGATGGTCTTGATCTCTTGACCTTGTGATCCACCTGCCTCAGACTCCCAAAACACTGGGATTACAGGCATGAGTCACTGTGCCCAGCCAATAACTTGTTTTAAAATCCACAATGCCATTATCACACCTAACAAATTAAACAATAATTCCTTGATATCATCTAATAATACCCAGTCTAGATATCATCTAATAAACCTAGTTTTATGTTCATTAGAATTCAGCCAAGGTCCATACAACCTTTGGTTTATATGTATTTGATATATTACGAGTCTTTTGTAATTTTAGACAGTTCATATTCTCCTACCACAATTTTTTGTGCCATTAATTTGTTGAAGAATTTGGACCCCTTTTTCTGTAGAATATCTTTCTGAATTTGGTTGTTTACAGAAAGGTGTCACTTACTATATTCTTTATCTTCTGTATTTCCTGTAAATTGGTACATCAGTCTTGAGACTTGAGTAGGTATTTAGAGTCAGGAGTAGGTCTTTTCACAAGAGTACTTTATTGATAGTGCTATGTCCTGAATTCATAGATTGAAATTTTGTGAACAGCCCAGATGAAATGAATTGGGGCTACAAATTCCCATAAGGGCCATGGATTAGTCCATTCTTATGCTGCTGATAAAGACATACCCGAGACTGAGCAATTTACAAAAGAAAGGGTTTAATTGGACTTACAGTTCCATGTGCCTGGGGAAGCCTCACAATCATGGCGGAAGGCAAGGAGGAGCAAGTCACATCTCACAAGGATGGAGGCAGGCAAAAAATGAGAGAACACCTCTTTTTAAAACCATCAGATCTTGTGAGACTTATTCACTATTATAAGAACAGCATGGGAAAGACTTCCCCCTTGATTACCTCCTGCTAGGTCCCTCCCACAACGCATGGGAATTCAAGATGAGATTTGGGTGGGAACACAGCCAAACCACATCAGGCCACAGAAGGTATTACTGTGTAGGCCAGTTTATCCCTGCCCTCCCCATCACCCACCCCAGCTCAGCATCAATGCCATTTTCTCTGCAATCCTCTGTGGATGAAAAGAAGAAAAGGGATAAACCTCATTTGCCCTTACTCTAGGCCCTTTGGGGACCCAGCTTACTGTGGAGAATCTCGTATTAGACTCTCACCTTGTGCAGGCCTTGGCCTTTGACATCAGACCTTCTCACTGTGCTAAGTCATCAAAAGCAAAGTTAAAGTGGGCTGGGAACAGCTAATGTCCTCAGGGAAAAAGCAGTTTTTGTGCTCTGCTTTCCTCCCTGGATGGCTGGAGTATTTTTAGATTTTTTGCCACGATTTGGATATAATATAATAGCTATGATATTGGAATTACTGTTAATTTTTTAGCTGTTATAATAGTATTATGCTTATGTAGGAGAACATTCTAATTCTCGGGAGCTAAAGTATTTAGGTGTCAGATATCATGATGCCAATTTACCTTCAAATGATTTAACTGTTGTTGAATACAGACAGAGATTGTATAGCTGTTCACTGTACTGTGCTTTCACTTTTCTGTGTTTGAAATTTTTTATAATATAAGCCAGAAAAATGATGTTAGCATGATAATTCCTTCTGTCTTGACAGTGCTAATGCTT